TTTTTTTCCTCGCACTTTCATTTTGAGTTTTACCTCGTTTGTTGAGCCTTTTTTCCTTTTCGGTAGCTATTGGAGGCGTTGATTGTGTGTTGAAAGCGTCGAAAGTCCTTTATGAGTTTTCATAGGGGTTTTTGCACGTTATTAGCAAGGGGGAAAGAGGAGATTGAAAAGTTAAGAAGAAGAGAGAAGAAGAGAGAAGAAGAGAGAAGAAGATTTGGAGATGGATTTGTCACCGAGAAAATCGTTTAAGGTATGTTTTTAGCTAATCATTTATATTTTTAATTAAATTACTTTATGAACCAAGATATCTTTAAATTTGAAGTTAATTGCGGATTCTAGATTGTCTGCCGTGGTGACAGGCTTAAGTTGAGAGTGTGGAAAGTCACTGTAAAATGACCTCGTAAATCTAGATAAAGTAATCTTATATTAATTTAAAAATTTCAATTCAATTAATAGAAATTATTTAAATCTTAAATTTTAATATTATATTTTATAGGTTATTTCAATGTAAGTCAACACAACCTTTAGCTAGCTAGCGAAGATTAAGACTTTAGCATGACAACCGAGATGAGGAACTACATCTCTAACTTGCAATAATTTTCTTTATTCCAGAATGTATGTTTGACTCAATATATGTTTTAGTCTTGTTAGATTCTTCATATTATTAGATAAAAAGTATATGAATGACATAAAAGATATATAAGGTATTATATGAAAGATATGTCTGAAAGATATGTATGAAATGCATGATATTTATGATACATATGATATGAAAGATATATATATTAGGAATCATATATGTATGCTAAGCTTATAGGAAAAATATGTGTGATATAGTTAAGAGATATGATGAGATAAATATAGTAAGAGATATGTATGAGATAAATATATGAATGAAATGAAATTTATGTATGATGAATGGTTACATTACAAAATAAGTATGTATATTTGCAGATTGCATAGAAATGTTTCAGAATAATGTATGCATGAAAAATGAAATAGCTTATATATAAATGTTTGTATAGTCATGTTCAGAGGAGGATTTCACCTCTTAATGGTACAAGTAGGGCATGCCAGTATACTTGTGAACTTACAGTTTTTCTAACACCCTAGACAATTGTGATGATTAGTTAACTAGCCTCCATGCCGATGAAATAATATTGGTTAGATGCAAGTAGACCAGAGCTTATCTCTCCAGGAAATTGTAATGTTTGCATTAAGAACCACTGTGCTGACGGGATAATCAGTCAGGGTTAGATAAGGGTCTTTCCACCCGAGATAATTGCGATGTGTAGATCGCTAACCGTTGTGTCGAAGGGAGCAGACGGGGCTATATCGACCAAGGGTATGTTAGATTTGTTGACAGTGATCCTCACAGAGACAAATGTGTATGTAAAGTATAAAATAGAAGTAAAGTTAAAGTAAATGCATATAAATGATTGAGTATTTTTATTTAGAAAAAAATATTGATACATGCATTAGCATATATCGGATATCGGATTGCTTATAAAATAAACTATGAAAGATAGCATTTTTTAAGCATATTTTAAGATTTCTTATAGACCCACATGTATATTGAATTCTTTTCATTGGGTTATTGTAGTGTAGAAATATAATTACTCCCGGATTATTTTTAGATAACTTATTATGTTGCCTTAAAATTATTTTTAGGTTTAAAACATTTGAACAAGATGAATAGAAGAGGAGCAAATGAGGAGCAAATGTATACAGTAGACGAGAAGAACAAGAAAGGTGCAAATTTTTACTTATTAATTTTATTGCTTTCTTTAGTGGGTCTTTTATTCATTTTGTTTGCTTATTGGATTGCTAGTAATAGAATATTAGAGAATTAATTTTCACTGTCCTACCGTCCATTTTCGACTTGGTTAATTTCAAGCCCCAGACCGAGTCGTGACAGTTAATACTCTTCGTAATAGGAAATGGTCCGATCTTTTTTGGCTTAAGTTTCAAATAGTCCTACAGGAAAGCATACTTTCTTTAAATGTACCATTACAAGGTCTCCCACCTTAAATTCCTTGAACCTTCCATGTGTATCAACGAAGGAGTTTGAAGTTTACAACACCACATCGGAGCAGGATACAGCCGAAGCACCACTATCGTCGATTACAACCCTAACATGAGGGAAGAGACTCCACACGGGAGATTTAGTAAACGACTCTAGTAGAACTGACTTCCATACACTTAGAGACAGCTATTTATAGCCCCTTACTCCTACATAAAAGGACATGGTTGGAAAAGACAAGAAGATTCCAGGGAAAAGAAACACTCAGAAGAAGATGACGCTGTAAGTTTGCGAGACAACCATCTGGATCGCGAAACAATGTGCCATCCCTCTTGACATAGTGCGTGACCGTGAAAGATCACGGGACTAGGCCCACATGACCGTGACTCTCAATTCTTCGTGAGAGATCGATGGACTAGGCCCGCGGGACTCGCGATTCTTCGCGAGAGATCATGGCTCCCGCGAAGTTTCGCTGGGCTCTGGCCCCAGCGGGATTTCCCCACTTCGGGGCGTAAACAGCTCCCACGTCACAAATGCAACATCTTTTAAGAAATCTATGCACATCATGACACATTTTAGGCCAATAAAAGCATGATTGAATTGAAGCCAAGGCTTTATGTCTACCAAAATGAGCCGAAAGTCTTACATGCAATTCTTGGATGGGCTTGATGCGAAGTTAAGTATTTGGGATGTAGAGCTGGTTTCTTTTGAATAGAAAATCATCATGAAGTGAAAAATCTGCAGCAGCTTCATGATTAGAGCATTTCCTCCAAAGACTAGCAAAGTTTTTATCCGATTCATAGAGTTCCTTCAAGAATTCCAGTCTAACAATTTCGGTTTGTAAGGCACTGAGCAAGCAAGATCTCCTACCAAGAGCATCGGCTACCTAATTGGAATCTTCTGTCTTGTGTTTAAATTCAAAGCTGAAACATTGCAATAATTGAACCCATTTGATGTGCATACGGTTCAGGTTCTTTTGACAATTAATGCATTGTAAGGAATGATGGTCACTGAATAGAATAAACTCTTGATGTAGGATAGTGTTCCCAACACTTCAAGGCTCTAACCACAACATAAAGCTAGTAATAGTAGTGCTGAACAAACTGTTTATAGAAATTGAGCAAACCGTGAAAGCTTCAAACTTCGAATATGCTGGTAGGGGTTGTTCACGAACGAATAGCTTCTATTTTTCTAGGATCAATTGATAAACCATGGGCACCAAATGATGAAACCAAGGAAATGGACCTGCTCTAAGGCAAATTCACATTTGGAGTGGTTTAAATATAATTTGTGCTAGAATGATAGCTTGACTATGGGATTCAGTATGGTCCAAATGAACCTGCAATGAGGAACTATAAACAATAAAATATTTAAAATAAACGATGCGATATTTACCTAAAAATGGCTGTAGAGCTAGGGTCATAAGCCTCATGAATGTACTAGGTTTCAAAAGGCCAAATGGCATGCCATGCCATTCAAAGTGCCCCTCGTTCGTCTTGAAAGCTATCTTTCTTTCGCCCCATTCTATGATTCTGATTTGATGGTAACCACTTTGAAGATCAAGTTTAGAGAGCACCTTTGCCCCTTGTAATTTGTCCAACATATCATCAAATCTGGGTAGAGGGAACATAATGGTTATCTGTTGATAGCTCGATTATCAATACAAAACCTCCTTTTTCCCAGCACTACCAAAGCTGAAACGGCACATAGACTTGTGCTATGTTTAATGAACTGGTCAGCTATAAGTAGGCAACAGGCGGATAAGTTTTTTTTAACATTCAAACAGATAATTGTTGCCACGTCCCTACGTCGAATTGCCATGGTCTCCCCAAAATAAGATGACTCACATCCATATCAATTACATCACAAAAAAATATCACAAATATAGTTATTGCCAATAGAGAAAGATACCTTGCAAACCTCAGTAACACCGACTTCTATGCCTTTCTTAATCAGCTGATTTTGAAAGGATGAGAGTTTTTAGCTATTTTTAGGGGTGTGCATTATTTGGTCAAAACCGGAAAACCGAACCGAACCGATCGAGTTTGGACTAAAAATAAGTTATATATTGAGCTTTTAGCACCGATTTTCTGCATAACTTGCTAATTATGCTTTCGTGATTGAAAATCAATACCACCCTTGTATAAGGACTAGAATCTATATCTCTTGGTTGCAAAATAAAACATTAAAGTTTGTAAACTTTCAATATCTTAAGATGATGAATTAATTATTCGTGATTTATAACACCATTAATTGAGAAGACATTAATGTATAATTTTCTTAGGGTTTGTTTGGGGAGAAATTTATTATTTAATCATAGGCAAACTTTCATTTTCATTGTTCAAATTGTTCCAATTTAATATTGTCTGTTTTCTGACATGTGATGATACCCAACAATATTAATCATCAAAAAATAGTTGAAATATGCATTTCGTAGTATCATATAACAGGAGAAAAAGTGGCAGAGTCTGAAATCATTTAATACAGTTTGTTTCCCTTCTGTTATGATTTTTCTTAAATGAGCTGGCACATTAAATTTGTTGCATTCAAATTATGGTTTTATTATTGGTGCATGGTTAGTAGGCCAATCAAATTCAAATTCAGTTTTTACGCTGTTTTTAAAAACCAGAAATCTTGGAATTTAGTGGTATCATAGATGCTATTATAAAAAATCTGTTTCATATTGCATCTGCATAAATTTGGCATCTACTCGTACCGCTTTTTGTTCATTCCAGTTTTTTCCAGAGTCTTATCAGAATGGCAGGTATGTGAAATTAATTGCTTATATGATTAATAAAAATCTGTTATGTAAAAACTTAAGAACACCATACATTTTCTTAATTGTAAGTGTTTATGCTATTGTTATTTAGTCATTACAATCTATGAGTAACAGTTTAAAATATAACACGATAACATGATCCTCAATCGGCTCTTTTTTATTCTGATGCTCTAACTCTTCTGCTTTGAACATTAAATATTCTCTTTCTGGCAATCTTATCCTTGTGTCCATATAAAAGTGGGAATTTTTGGTGTTATTGTGTTAAGTATTGACCCGTTGGCGCAGGGAAGAGTGCTGTTGGCTTTGAAAGATGCCGGTCTATTTACAGCAGGCGGTTTAAACAGTGAGAAGGTAATTTTTTTTCTTTTCTCCTTCAAAAACTGCATTCTTTTGGAGTGTTAATACCTTTCAATGTGTGTCACGTTATGTGGAAGGAAGCAATAACCTTTGGGAAGGAGGGAACCATCATGTACATCCCTTTTTTCGGTTTCATTTTTATGTTGTTTTCATTCTACTAATTAGCCACTTGCACCTTGGAATGTCTTCAATCGATTTGATTTTTATTGGGACAATGATTTATTAGTGAAAGTTTAAATCTGCAAAGAAGACCAATTTTGTAGAGCTATTTGAGAGGCAACTTTTATCATCGTAAGGCCTACATAAATTTAGATTAGGCTTGAGTTTATTCTATTTTTTAAGCCTTGAGCATTTGATTTACATTCTAGAAGAAAACTTCTGCTGAGCACATTTCCTTGCTATTGTCAGCTTTTTTTTAATTCCCTGACTAAAGTTGTTTTTTTTGGCATTTGTTTGTGCATGATTTGGCCATATATGTGGCTGATTTTCAGGTTCTCTTTTGTAGTACGGAAAATGGGCGTATATCTTTTGTGCGGCAACTAGAACCAGATTGGCATATTGATACAAACCCAGACATAATACAGCAGTTATCAGTGAGTGCTTATATTTGCACATAGTGACTATATATGTGATGCATGTTGCACTTCTATATCTGTTACAGGTTTATATGGATTGTTTTTGGTAGTTGTATTGTTACTAATGATATTTTATTTATTTACTGTTAAGATATAATACAATAGTTAGCCGTATTTATATTTGTACATAATAACAGTATATCTGAAGCATAGGATACTTTTATAACTTCTCATAGGTTTTAAATGGATTGTTCTTGCCAGTTCTATTGATACTAATGATTTTTTTTTCTTATCTCTTTCTCTACTTTTTGATTGAGGAGCTTGTTGAAGCTTCAGTTTACTTGATAAACCTTGTTCGAGCTCTAGCTCAATTAGAGTATTTATGGTACATTAAATTTTGGTTCATTCAAAATTTTGATTATTTTCCCCTCTTAGGGAGATAAAGGCTTGTTTTTGCTGTAAAATTATGATTCTTTGAGCCTGTCTTTCAATTAAAATTTAATTATTGAGCATCCTATTTGGTTCAATTATTGAGCAATACTATGAAGTAGCTTAGCTTATTATACAAACCTTATGTCTCCTATTAATGAAGAACAATATTGAGCAAATTGTTAGTTAATTAAAAGCTATTTATGAGCTTAAACGGAGATTTTAATTGAAAGAGCTACTTAATAAACAATCATTTTAACCAAGTATAAATGAATAGCTTATGTTCAAATAATCTCATAGAAAGAAGGGCTGGTCTCCTACTTAATCACATATTAGTAAATTTAGAAGTCTTAAATGAGCATTTTATTGAGCCTTAATAAGCTTCTTAAAGTGCATCTTCATGAGCATTGAATGTCATCATACATACACAAAAACAAATCGAGTATCAAGCTATTCGAGCCTTTTCATCTATCAATTGAGTATTTATAATAGTATTCGAATTTTTTTATTATTTAATTAAAATTTCATAAAAAGCTTCAATTATAACTGGCCTCCAGTAACTTTTGGAGTGTATTGATTCATTTGTAGCCTTAGATACACCGGCTTATATATATACAATGTGATCTAATTCTGTTTTATATTATCATTGTTAAATTTTTTATTATGTTGTGACATCTAATTTTCTCATGTTTTCAGAGATTCATCAAGTATCAACTCCACATTTCTCCTACAAGAATTGAACGTGCAGCACCTAATGTATTTACCTCCATATCCTTGGAGCATTTCTTTGGCATTTCGGATAGAAGCTAATGTGTGCAATCAATTGCAGGTGATTCGGCTGCAAATCTTTTTTTCTTTTTCTTTTTTATTTTATTATTTTATCTTATTTATTTAATTTTAGCGCTTTTGCAACTTTTGTTTGTGCAATATGAATGTTAAGAGTATCTGGATCGAGTACAATATTTTATATTGGTGTTGTCATTCATGAGCAATTGTAAAGCATTATACTCTCCTTAACAGAAGAAATTCAGCTATAACTTTAGGTGTGCAAAAATATTCTAAGAACTGAGTGATATGTATGTAAATATTCCATTTGCTTCGTATTAATGATCAATTTGGGTCGATCTATTTGAGAGCAGGTGCTTCAAATGGTCTGTGTTCAATTCTACTAGTGCTGTATATTACAGCTGACCCAAAAGCATAGGGATTTATTGAATTTATACTTTAAATTCAATACAACTGACATGCTCCAATACAAGACTGATTTTGGCATGTTTTAAAATGATATTTATATCCAGTTGCATGTAAAATAGCCATCAAAACATTAACATCTATAATTATACAGTGCAAATTAAATTTTCTTTTTCATTTTCCTTGTTGATTTTTGGTTGCCTCATTTTTTATGAGAATTATGCTATACAAATTAACATTTATTTCGTTGCGAAGTTGTAGATGTAAGTTGAAGCATTTCATTTTTCTAAAATCATAAATCTAACCTAAAAGTAATGCTTATCCTAATGTGTGTCAACTTAACCTGAGAAAAAAAGACAGAAATTAACCCAACATAACGGTATGGTTTGGGTTTGGCTCTCACTTAATTATGATCAACTTTAATGAAATTATTGCCCCCATTCTTGATTTGATGATTTGGTGCTAGGTTGGTCTATACAATGGGATTTTATTTTTAATTTTGGGACGTTTACTTTCATGCCACCAATTCCTATGTATTACATAGATAACATCTAAACTTTGCTTTGTACATTTTTACCCTCCAATTAATTTATATAACAGCAACAAAATACCACTATTACAATATTTAAGAAGTTAAATGCACCTTTTTCTGCATAGATAAGGTAGCATATATGTAAAAATTTAAGTGGTGTTAGATATGTAAATACATAGAAATTGAGTGGCATGCATGTGAATCTTCCATTATTTATTTCCCTGCTCATCTGGTGTTGTCTGGTTATATTGACAGGTGACTGCTATCCAGATCCTTTTAAACTCATCCTGTCCCTGAGCTGCTGTCATGCTTTCGCCTGATAGTCTCCCAAATGTATTTTATTTTGTATTGTTGGCCAGAAAATAAGCGAAATTTCATCTATAACCTTCAATCATCAACAACTTTGCGAGACTGCAATTCAACATTTTCATGTTCTGCAATGAACTTCTGTATCAATGTGAGTAAATTCATTCATGTCATCATGTATTCTATTTATAGTTTATTGACCGAATGCCTACAACTTCAGCTTAGATTCTATTGTTTGTGTGGCATTTTAAAGTGTTGCAATGACCAATGCATGATTAATGAATGATGATATCAAATGCAGCTGTGTTAAGCGTGCAATCATCTGAAAGTATACAGATTTTATGTATTCAATCTATCACAGTAATTTAAAAGGAAAAGTTCTCATGGTATACATCACTTAATAGGTTTTATATATGACAAATAAACTTGTAAATATTTTATTTAATTATTGTCAGCATGTGTAGATTATTTAATGGAGAAAATTTAAAAATTATCTGAAAGGAAACCTAATGAGTTAAAGAGTTCTATAACTTGGGGAGTAAACGAGATTATTTAGGCCCTTGTTAATATTTGAGCTTTAAAATTAGGTAAATGTACTAGGCATCTGTCATGAATATAGTAGGTAGCTTAAAAGCTTTACTTGGGGGGAAATATTGTGCCCGGACACCACACATGCCAATCACCAACCGTAACATCGTCATATATCTTATCAATGGATGATGCGGCTGCCCGTGTTTGGTATGAACGCAATATTTCTTTCGTAGGGTATGTATATGGGAGCGATGACCACATCGGTAGGATGTTTGGGGAAACACCTTTGTGCTTAACTTCTCCAAATGTTGTGCAAAAGCTGTCTTTAACAACCTAACTTTTTATAGCAATCCGATTGTTTCTTAAAACTATTGCAACTGCCTCAAAGTGAGGAAAAATTATTCCATACGGATCGGACACCGCACGGATCAGACACCGCACGCAGCTTGCGTGCGGTGTCCGATCCGGAACGTAAATCACCTGATCTACGGTCTCGATGTATTTCGGTGGGCCTCACCTAAATTTTTTTAAAAAAAAAACGGAAATAATCCTGATCATAGATCCGTGATTTACGGTCAGGATCGGACATGCATGCGGTGTCCGTACGCAATAATTTCTCCAAGAGGCGCTTGATATGTTGTTAAATCAATAGGCCAACTCATTATTTTTTTTTCCTTTGAATAAGCTGTGGTTTGACTAATTGTGACATCTTCCAAGCCAATTGTGAATGTTCAACATGACCTTTGTAATTTTACTTTGATACTTTGAATGTACCTGAACACGAGCTTTATAATTTCCTTATAATTTTTTATTTAATCGGCCATTGAAATCTCTGTTTTTATTGATCTTATAATATATGGTATCATTCATATATAACTCGCATGTGTAAAAGCCATAGATATATTATTTTATATACGTATTTTTTTTCTAGTTTTCTTAATTAAAAAAAAATAATTGAACGACTAGTTTAATAAAAAATTTAAATATGATATAGCCTTATTGAAATATTTTAAATCTGTCATCTTAAGCATACATATCACTCAATTCTTATGTAATTACATATCTAACACTTTAATTTTTCATATATGCCATCTTACATGTATTTAATTTGTAAGAGATTCGGGTGCACAAATGTAAAAGGCAACAGTTTAGGCGTTAGATATTTAAATATATAGGAGTTGAGTGGCATGTCTGTAATTGGGCCTTAAATTATTAGTGTAACAAAAGACTTTTCTATTCCATCCTTTTGGCATATAAAATGCGTTGATAAAATGATATTTATATTGTCATGTATTATTCAAGATTTAATGTTTCTTCAAATCATATTCTCATGTTGCATATTACAATAAAAAATTATCATAATAATTTTACATCAAGAGATAATTCAACAATCTCCAACGACAATAAAGACTCTGTTTGGCGCAGCTGTAGCTGTGTTGCTCCAAAAAGTATCTGCGGGGAAGTTGGCTGTCTGTTTGGTGCAGCTGCGTGAAAACAATTGTTGAGCAGCTGTTTCTGGAAAAATGACCATGTTGTCTCTGTTTTGTAAAACTGTTTAAAATAAGACTGTAACAGTGACATTTTTAGAAATTCAAAAGCAAAAAATTTATTTCTAAATATAATAAAAAAAAATTCAGATACATCACTCACATAACAATGAGCCCCGAAAGTGTCAAAAAAATAAATGTTTGAAATAATAACACATATGCAACACATTCTTATGTATTTACACACGTAACACAAACTTTAATTTCTAGGAAAATTTGTATAATATTTTTGAGGTCATAGAAAAGATTTGGGTAGCACAAATATAGTAAAGTTAGTATAATAAATTGGGAAACTTACTCACATAACACATAAATTTTAATTATATGAACAATTTAAATTTTATACTTATATTTATAGCATTTTTGATGTTATAAATCATAAATGAAACGATTTATTTAACTAACATATAAGAATTGTGGGGCATGTATGTAAACGCCCCTAATAAATTTTGTAATCGTAAACATCACCATTATTATCTCCTCACAAACTCTTCTATAAGAAAATCTATCTATCCCTAAGCCTCAGCTTATCTAAGTATCCATACAGATATAGCCGTGTTTTGTTCATCTCCTTGCATGTATATATGCTTGATCCGCTTGAGCTACGTACACTTAATTTGTATTTATTGGTTGTTTATTATGTAAATTACGGCCTATTTAATTTGAATATAACTGAGCTCTATGTCACGGACAAAAAGTCTCACGTCGGCTAGGTGTATGACCGAAAATCAGTATTTAAGTCATGGGCTGCCCACCACCCCAAAAGAGCTTTTTTGGGATGTGACAAGTGATATCAGAGTAGATTACTATATGTCAGGTGTGTGGGCTCTCCGTGGTCCAGTGGGACCCTCGGTGGAGTCGATCCGTGACGAGGGTGTCACGTGATTGGGTGGAGGAGAATGTCACGGACGAAAGGTCCCACATCGGCTAGGTGTTGGACCGAAAAACAGTATTTAAGTCCTGGGCTGCCCACCAACCCTAAGAGCTCTTTTGGGAGGTGACATCTAGCTCACAAACTCATAAGAAATGATATTGTATACAGATTAAATTTATATTAAACATATTATTACATGGCAGTTTGAGCATTTATTTGACGATGAATGCGGACCACTCATTATTATTTTGTATTAGTATTGTGAAATTCCTCGCAATATTTTAATATAATATATACACCAAAACTGTTAGCATGAATCTCAAAACAATCGAATTACCCGGATGACGATCAGACAATCAAGACATCCTACCGTTCAAAAAGGGGTTGCTTGATCAGAATCGACCGACGCACTATTGCGAACGATTCAATCAGCGGACCACGCCCACAGTCTCAACTGACCAAGATGCATGCATGAGTCTTTGATCGCAAGCTGGTCGGTCGACCCTCTTTTACTATGGCAGGTGAGATCTTCATTCGATCAAGCACCTCAAACGACCGACATTTACTTTGGAAGGTGTGGTCGGTACTCAGTTGATCGTCTCAGCCAACCTAATTCAAGCTAAACTGATAAGTCAGTTTTCACCATATTAGAATTTAAATTTTAATACATATATGATATAAAATTTATAAAATTAAATAGAGTATAAATTGCATTAAGAACAGTTCTCATAAATGTTCCCTCCATTCTGTAATAGGAGTCAAAAGGATGAATAAAAGGATCTCTCCCACGGCTCACAATATGGTGAATTATTAACTTAATCTACTCTCTACTTCCTCTTTTCTCCTCATCCGGATCAAAGTCTCGAGTTGTGCTCATAAAGAACATTTTAAGACTCAACATATAACTTTTTTATAGTTCGTATGATTATTATTGCTGATATTCAGCGCTAAAATTGCCATCTTTGAGATTATGTATATATTAAGATAACAAATACTCTAACTATCTGTTTTAATTTAAATAAAAAATTTATTTACATTTAAACATCGCACGTCAGGATGGCCGAGTGGTCTAAGGCGCCAGACTCAAGTTCTGGTCCTCGTTTGAGGGCGTGGGTTCAAATCCCACTTCTGACACATTTTTTTATTTATTTTTTATTTAACTCCCAATCAAGGCAAAGCGTAATGGGCTTTTTATCAACATGTAATTTTTAAATCATCCAAACTTCATTTTAAATAATTAATTTTTATAATGATACTATTAATATTAATATTAATATTAATATTAATATTAATAAAGAGTACATGCATAAATCAAATTATTAAACGTTGAGAATGTTTTTAAATAGTTAAAAAAAAAATTGATTCTGCCACTATCATGAAACATAAATGAATTAATTTTATTTTGTAAAGTCTTTTACATTCTTGTGTATATTTAGCTTTCATGTTTATAAAATACTTTATAACTCATTTTATTCGCATATTAAATAGTATATGAGACAATTATCAAGACTAGATAAAGTATGCATCATATGGTATAACAATATGATGGACATTTTTTCTTCATGTAAATTGGACGGGAAAGACATCACTAAGTATACAGGAGATTGATTGATAAATCATTCAAGCATTAAGAATGACAACAAGGGTACATTTATTGAAGTAAAAAAAAAATACATATCTTAATGTGCAAAGTGAAATTTAGGACTTAACATCCAAAAGGACAACACCAAACATGTACCAACTTAAATGTACTGAATAATAAGAGCTCAAAATCAATCAAATATATACAAAACTATATATCAAAACACTAATATTACTATAACATAATAAGTTATAATTAATCTAATTTGTATTATTATCATCATTACTATTACAACAATGAAGGGGAATAGTAGGTCGAAAAATAAAAGGACAAGAAGAAAATAATTAAAAGTCTAATGGAGTAGATAAGAAAATAAACTAATTACGAAAACATTTAAGTTCATGAATTCAAGTCTTAGTTCTGAGTTAATTATGTTATTTCATAGCCTTCTCTTCTCTGGTCTCTCATTTTGCTTCAAGTTTTAATTCATTCATGAGTATCTTGACAAATCAAGTAGGTCGAAAATTAAGCTCGAATTTCTTCACCCAAAAGATGCTCCAACACCACTTCATATCTTGACTCTTTACAAATCCATGGTCATTCACACTAAATAATATGATGATCTTCATGCATGTAGCATTGTAAACAAGTGAAATGAAAAGAAAAAGATTATGCATTCCTAATCGCTCTAGAAGAAGAACGAATTGGCAATGAAATTTTGTTTAGTTTTTGCCTCAATTTGAAAGGATCAATGAAATGGAACAGCAATCTGTCACCCTTTTGAATCTCACTACTTATGAATAAGTAAAATCTTAAGAATAAGATCTCTAACTTTGAACTTCAATCTCTTTATGCTTATAATCAATATATCTTTTCTGATACTTTCGATTTGAACAATTGATTCACAAATTTGTAGTGTTTCATCAACAATCGAATGGTCGAATTTCATCTCATCAGCCACAAACTAGTATAAAGGAAAAACATTTCTTGCCATAAAAAAACCTCCTTCAGTAAAATGTAATCCCCTCAATTACAATCATAGTTAAGAATAGACATGAATAGTATATCTTAATTGAAAATTTATCCAAGAAATAATGTGTTAAAATGAATAACTAATTTTTTAAATATCAATGGACATACATAATCTATCCACATATATATATATATA